GGCTCTTGGCAGCTCACTCCAGCTGCTGGCCACTGGCCCTCATGTGGGATCTGAACCGGGGTCCTGCTGCACAGAGCTGGCGTCCCAAGCCAACTCTTAACCAACGCGCCACTCGGCCAGCCCCTAAATCATTTTCTTAATTTGCTATTGTTTATTATCTTTTCAATATTTTAAATACTCCATTCTCTTTTTATCCAGGTTGAAGATTGTAAAAATTTCATTTAAGTGCAAACAGTTTTTTATTCAACTTAGAAAAGAATTGGTGAGTAATGATCTAATAATTACTAATATAAATGAAGTCTTAAGAGATAACCCATCCGTGACAGAACTTTTAGTGCAAGTGAGTGTTATTAATACTGTCGATAACTGCCTACCAAGTTAATTAATACACATTTTATGACAAAATGTATTTATTTCCCCAGTATTTCTGTGGTTATGATTTAAAGTTCTTCTAGATATCCATTCTGCTATCTCTTGAACCTGGAAACTGATCTTAGTCTTGATGTTCATTATCTGTTGCCACGGTCCATTCATAAAGGCAGTAACTGAGCATTTTATATGTCCTTTTTCTTTTTTCTACTAAATCTATAGCATTTTCATATATAAGCTCATTTCATTTAAGGGAACCTGAGTGTTTAGTTTTGTTTTTTGTTCATGAACATACAGTACATTTCCTTCCCTTTTTTGGAATGGTAATGCCCTTTTTACGTATTAAATACAACACATTGAGTTACCATGGAAAGTTACAGTGTTGGGAAGAATTTCATCATGTGATTTTCTCTATTTTATCCAATTAAACTAACCTTATTTTTTGAAGTACATTATGTTTTAGAAATCTCGACAAGTTAGTGCAGATTTCAAGATGGTTGTATGTGTGTAAAATGTATTCGAAAACCTTAAAAATGTGTTTGAATCAGCTACATTTTATAAGAGGATATTGATCTAAGTAATTATGATTCATCATTTATGCTCACAAAATGTTTTCAGTTTTTATTGAAATAGAAAAGTATACAGATACTAGGTTAGTGTTTGATAATTGTATGATATATAATGTTAATATGTAGAACATCACTGCCAGCCCAAAAGCTGGTATTATTGCTAATGGAGCTGATGCCCACTTACAGTCATTAACCCTCCCAAAACGTAAACATTATTCTCACTTTTATCACCATGGGTTAGTTTGTTTATTTTTGAACTTTAAAAAAAGAACTCATGCAGAATATTCTTTTTTTCTGCTTTCTTTCCCTTAACATTGTGAGATTCATCCATGTTGTTGCACACAGCAGTAGTTTGTCCCATTGCTTTATGGTATTCTATTGAATGAATATACCATAATTTAGTTGTTCTTTCTTATGTTAATGGACAATTTTGCCATTTCCAGGTTGTAGCAACTATGATTAATGCTACTAATGAACATTTTTGTACATTTTTTGATAAATGTTTTGAGGAATAAAATACAAACCTTATCTGGAAACTAGAGAACACATTTTACTTTAAATAATTATGTTGGTAGAAGACAGTATAGAAGCCAATTTTCTAATTTGCTTCCCATTATAGTACTATTGTTATTAGTAATAATAATAGTAGTTATAGTATCTAACATTTATTGAGATCTTACTACGTGCCTGGTAATATGCCAATAATTTTTAGGTAATTTAATCCTCACAACCTTTGTCTTAGATAATGTATGATTAGAATGTGTTTAGCCTTAGGTAATATCTGCAACAAAAGTCAACTAAAGACAGTATACAGGCATGCTCTGCAGAGTGTTACCTTATTAATGTTTTCTCGCTGAACTATCTCTTCATTTTTAAATATCCAAACTATGGTCTGTATTTACCTCTCAATACCACATTTTGTATATCTATTGTTTACAAAATGTGTGGGGAAATTTTTGTTACATTCCAAATACAATAAGTAGAATGTCAGAATCATATATAGACTTTGAAGTGTGCAAAGTGTCAAAAAAGGGAGAATGTATATGCATCTTAGATTTTACATTACTGCAGTCATACTCAGAGACAGTCTCTGTCATTTTGCATTGTTTGTGGTATGTTATACAACATGTAAACAGTATTTGTTAGTGCATACATAGCAACTGTTAAGCATAATTAAGACTTCCAAGCATCATATCTTCTAACATGGTAATTAAATGCTTATACATGGGCATTTTATTGTATTTTAGTTATGGAAAATATCTTCATGACTTTTTGATGAGCAAAGATTTCTTTAACGGGACATAGAAGGAAAACTAACCTCAAAAAAAAAAGATCAATAACTTGGACTATGTTAAAATTAAGAACTGTATTCATCAAAAGGCATCATTAAGAGAATGAAGTAGCACAGAATATTGTATATAATACACACACGATATCTTTAGTTGTATATCCAACCCAATCCAAAAATATGCTAGTGATCTGAATAGACACTTCAGAAATGAGGTTATCCACATGGCCAGTAACATGTAAAGGTATTGAACTTCATTAATCATCAGTGAATTATAAATTATAACCAAAATATAATACTTCTCCACATCCACCAGAATAGTGTAATGAAAAAATTGTTATATCATTGGTGTGTGGAGCACACACTGCTGGTGGGAGGGAGTGTGTATATATATGGATCTAACCATTTTGGAAAATGATTGGGTATTATCTACTAAAGGTCAGCACACATATATCTTATGATCCAACAACAGAAATGTGCATCAGACATACAAGGATATACATAGCAGCAATATTTTTACATGCACAAAATGAAAACATCAACTGTCTATCAATAAATGGATAAATAAACTATGGTATATTCATGTGATAGAACACTATTTAGAATGAAAATGAGTGAATCACTGCTTCACAGCTATATGGATGAATATAGAAACATAATATTGAACAAAAGTCAGACCTAAAGACACATATGTATGATTTCATGTATATAAACTTCAAAAACAAGCATAATTAATCTATAGTAATGGAAGTCAGAAAAGTGATTACTTTTGCCAAGGTAATCTGGTAGAAAGGCTTCCCTTTATAAAGTATACCACAGATACATTAAAGGTGCTAATAATGATCTATTTCTTGATCTGGTTGGAGGTGAAATGGTTGCATTCATTGTGTGAAAATCAGAGCTGTACACTTATGACATGTGTGCCTCACCATATATAGCTCACTTCAATGAAAATGTTTATTTAAATAGGAATTTCTGCCAAACTTACAGAGAAAAATTAAAGAAATGCTTCTATTCTGTTGCTACTTATTTTAAAATTTGAGTTTCATATCGTTTAAAAGTGCTGAATATTCTCATCTACTTATTCTTGTCTAGACAAATTTATAAACTTAGAAATATTGTTACAAGTTATGATGCTGTATCTTAAAGTTTAATGTATGGGCCAGGATTATAGTTTGAAACAGAATTATAGCTAGTACTGGTAAGTTTTTTTTAAAGATATATCAATTTTTAAACTTATTTCTAACTATGTTCTAAAATAAAAATTCCTAAGAGTTGTAATATTACAGAATGAGGTCCATATTCTGCAAACCTTTCCATTTATTTTGCTGCTTTTTTTATTGGATAAATAAAAAAAATTTAATAACTAAAGTGATTTTTAGTGTTTGTAAGGCTAGGCTAGACTATTTATCTGTGAAAAAATAAATGAAATGAAGCATTGGATCCTGATATTTTCCTGGTATTCTCTGCTTTTTGTTTTTTATTACAGCATGAATCTAGAGAAACATTATTGGGATTTAACATGGTGAATTACAGAGCATGCAAAAATTTGTGGAAAGCATGTGTAGAACATCACACATTCTTCCGTTTGGACAGACCACTTCCACCTCAAAAGAATTTTTTTGCACATTATTTTACATTAGGTTCAAAATTCCGGTACTGGTAAGTATTGCTTATGCATTAAATGCGGTATTGCTGGGTTTGTCCTCCCTTTAAAATACAAAGGTCTATTTTATTGAATCATAGAAGTTTTGTTAATATGTACCTACTAAGTCAAAATCTCTATGGAATGTGGCCCGTTTTTCTATATCAGCAAAAAGTTTGTAGGTTCTTTGATATAACCGTACTTGAGAAACCTCTTTCATTGACTTTATTCCAGGTCATTCTTTCCTAATGTAAATCAACCACATTGAATTATTTAAACTCTAGAAATGTTATAATTTACACTGTCTTTGTTAAATATTTACAAGATAACTTCTTTGTTCTGAGACACCTTATTTTATTTGTAAAAACCAAGATGTCTTCTTCATGAGTGTACGTACAGTTACTTTGCTTTTTTATATATGAGTTGTCAAATTCTTTATTGTGAAGAGTTCAAAACAGCTATTATACAGAATCAGAAATAATCATTGAACAATAACACCAGGTTCCTTTTCCTAAAATTATATTATTATCTATTCATGATAGCTTTTAATTTTTCCTGAAGGCAGCAATCTTTGAGGGATAACTCTAAGCAGAACAAATAACAGACAGCATAAAGCTTAATACAGGATATTCCATTAAGAATACATGCCCTCCCCCCAATCAAAGAAGTAGTAAAAGTAGCTCTAAAATTCAGTAGCAACACAAACAGAATTAGGAAGATTTTAACCACAAAAAAGGCACAGCAGATTCTTAAATGGCATGGTGTCATGCGTAGCTCCTCTGTCACTTTCCTAAAAGCAATATTTGGAAAGGTAAGGTACTTGCAAATTTAAAGGTAAATAGGAAGAGTGAATATTAGCTCAATGGTGAAACTTGAGAAAAAATTAAAAAGCGTCATCTATTGGTACTATATTTCAGCAGAGACAACAGTACAGATTATAATCCTTAATAAACTTAATTCCTAACTAAGCAACCCCTAGAGTTATTACACAGGACTATACTTAACTCTAGCAGAACTTTTTCTTCCTTCTGTCCTTGAAAATACTACATACATATAAATATACATGCACCATTTCACTTTGGCAACAAAAAAGAATAGAATGTAGTAACCAGCCTTCAAGTATCATTCAAACAGGTCTCATAAGATGAGAAAAAAAATAAAGTTATTTACCCAAACTGTACCACAGCATATAGAAAATCTAGTCACAATCACTGCAAATATAGAAAATTGACAAAGAAATCAGTTAGAGAGAAAATCATCACTGAAACAGAATGAAATTTCTACCATAGATATTAATAAAACAAGCTCTAATAAAAGAAGAAAATATTGGTGGGAGGGGAGCAACACCTGCCTTTCAGACTGTTCTTGCCTTTGGAGGAATATGAGCCTAGTACAGGCAGATTTTACATTTTTACACAACTTTATTAAGGTATACTTGACATGCAATAAGTACCATATTTAAAGTGTAAAAATTGATGTTTGGGGCTGGCCGAGAGGCGTGTTGGTTAAGAGCTGGCTTGGGATGCCAGAGGACCCCGGTTCGGATCCCACATATTAGGGCCAGTGACACTGCCCTCTACAGCTAAGATGCTGAACAACAGCTCAACCTGGAGCTGGGCTGCCATGAGTCGCCGGTGATGGCGTAGTGGCCCTCCAGAAGCCAGCGACTGAGCTGCCTCGCCCGGGAAGAGCACAATGATGGTGCCAACTTGGGCCAGTGAAGCAACGTCCTCCACAACTAGACTGAAGAACACAAAAAAAAAGACAACAACTTGTCTGTTCCCATCCCCAATTCCCCAATTTAAAAAAAAAAAATTTGATGTTTGGAGATATATATATACCTCCATGAATCTATCACCACATCAAGATAGCAAGCATATCCACCCCAAAATTTTCTCTATACCCTTCTGTAACACCTTTCTCCCACCCTTCTTTGTCCCCATGCAACCACTGGTCTGATACATGTATGTATGTCAGACACACACACACACACACACACACACACACACACACACACATATGTATACACATACATATTAAAAAATTTATATATGGTTTGTTTTTCTAAGATTTTATCTGAATTGAAGCATGTATATTGCATATTCTTTTTAGTCTGGCCTCTTTCACTAAGTATAAATATTCTGCAATTCATCCGTGTTGTTGCCTGTATTGATGGTTCATTTCTTTGTATTGTGGAGTAGTATTCCATAATATAGATGTACCACAATTTGTTTATGCATTCAATTATCATGAATATCAAGTGGATTTCCCCATTTGGGTTATTTCCATGTTTGGGCTATTGCAAATAAAGTTGCTGTGAACATTCATGTGGAAGTACTTATATGGATGTTTGCTTTAATTTCCCTTGATTAAATACCTAGGAGTGGAATGGCCCAATTATGTGGTAAATGTATGTTTAACTTTGCAAGAAACTGCTAATCGTTTTTTTTCAAAGCACCTTGTACCATTTTATGTGCCCACAAGTAGTGTATGGGAGTTTCAGTTTCATCACATTCTCATCAATACCTGTTGTTATCTTTTCATTTTACTAGTATCTTCTGAAGAGCATATAGCTTTCATGAAGTTCAGTTTACCAATTTGTTCTTTAATGGATCTTTCTTTTGGAATCGTATCTAAGAAATCTTTGCCTAACCTAAGGTCGCAAAGATTTATTCCTTTGTTTTCTTATAAGACATTTACAATTTTATCTCTTACATTTAGGTCTGTGATTCATTTGGAAATAATATGGTGTGAAGTATGGATTGAAGTTCTTTTTTTGCATATGGATATCCAGTTGTTTCAGCAATATTTGTTGAAAAGATTACCCTCTTTCCACTAAATTGCCTACACATCTTTGTTGAAAATCAGTTATTCATATTAGTGTGAACTTATTTCTGGACTTATATATAATATGTCTTAAATTCTAATAGTATTAGTCTTCCACCTTTGTTCTTCTTTTTATAAAAGTTGTTTCACATGTTCCAGGTCCTTTGCATTTCCATTTGAGTTTTTAAATTAGGTGCTCAATTTCTGTAAAAAAGACTTCTGGGACTTTCATTGGAATTGTGCTGAAAATATAGATCAATTTCAGGAGAATTGATATCTAAAAAATACTGAGTTTTTTAGTTCATGAAACATGGTATATCTTTTTATTGAAGTCATCTTTTAGTTCTCTCCGTAATGTTTGTAATTTTCAGTGTACAAGTCTTTCACATCTTTGCCAAATTTTTCTTTAATTATTTCATAGTTTTGATGGTATTATAAATGATCTTTTTAAATTTTAATTTCAGATTGTTCATCACTATTAAAAATGCAATTGATTTTTTTTGTTGATCTTGTTTCCTGAAACTTCGCTTAGCTCACTAATTCTGGGAGCTTTTCTGTAGCTTCCAACTGATTTTCTACCAAGGGGATAAATACAGTTTTAATTCTTTCTTTCTATTCTGATCCTTTTATTATTTTTCTTATTGCCCAAGTTAGAACCTCCATTACAGTGTTGAATAGAAGTTGTAAGAACAGAAATCTTTGTCTTGTTCCTTATCTTAGGGGGAGGCATTTAGTCTCTCACTGTTAAGTATGATGTTATTTGTATGCTTTTCATAGATGCCTTATATCATGCATGTTGAGGACGTTTACTCTATTTCTAATTGGCTAGACATTTTTATTAGGATTCAATATTAGTTTTTGTCAAATGCTTTTTCTGCAACTGTTGTGTTGATCTTATGGTTTTTCTTTTTAGATTGTTTATATGATGAATTACATTGAGTTTCAAATGTTAAACCAACCCTACTTTTGGGGATAAACCCTACTTCGTCATGATCTGTTACCCTTTTCATATTACTGTTTTATTCAGTTTGCTAAAATTTTGTTTAGAATTTTTGCATCCATGTTCATGAAGGATATTGCCCTGTAGTTTTCTTGTAATGCTGTTGTCATATTTTTGTTAGGGTAATTTTGGCCTCATTGAATGAGTTGGGAAGTATTCCCTCAGTTTCAATTTTTTGAAGAGTTTCTATTATAATGGTATTATTTTTATTTATTTATTTTTTTTAGCTGAGCCATCCTGCCACCTGTTGGCAGCTCAGCGGCTGCTCAGCTCGGGCTGACTCGAACCGCTGTTGCTCAGAGCTCAAACTCTTGAGCGAGCTCTTAACCAACTGAGCCACTCAGCCGGCCCTGGTATTATTATTTTTTTTTAATGTTTGGTAGAATTCATCTATCTAGGGCAGGAGTTTTATTTATAGGAAGCTTTTGAATAACACATTTAAATTATTTTTGTTTGGGGATGGAAAGATTAATTGGGGCAGAACAAGGTACAAATAAGAGATGTTAAAGAAGTTGTACATTTGGAGCTTAGAATTCTGGATCACAGAATTAAAATGAAGGCTAATGAGGAAGTTTTTAAGAAACTAGAAGTTAATAATGGTGCCTGTGAACGTAAAGCACAGAGACAAGTGAGAGGCCCAAGGTCAGAATTTGGGGTAACTCCTCCATTTAGTTGACAGGAAGAAGAAGGGAAACAAAAATGGCAGGGAAGGGGGCAGAGGTAAGCTGTCAGAATAGATGGGCACTGTGCCAACTGCCTCCCAGGATCACACCAAAATTACAAATAATTTATGCAGTATTCAACCTCGGAAGTCACCTGAACATTAGATGAACAGAACCTCTAAACTAAGGATTTAAAGAAGAGACCACATCAAGGCTGGTAGGAGAGGCACAGACATGAGGCACGCTGACTCCAGGGCCACAGAGAGAAAGGGCGAACCCCGTGGGGGACACCTCAGTGGTGGGGAGGCTTCTCCTGTTGGGGGAGGAACCCTCCGGCCACACGCCAGGCTTCCCAGCCCAGAGTTACTTTGCTGGGAGGAGGAATTCCACGATAGCCGGCAGTAAAAATTAATGACGACTTTTCTTTGCTCAATTCGGTGGGGCAGTGGGTGGCTGGAGACCCAGACGCCCTCCTGTGGAGCCAGCGCGTGGACTCTTGCTGGCAAGCACTCACCCGGTCCCTCTAAATTCTTTATTAGATATAAAGCAGTTCAGGTTTTCTCTTTTATCCTGAGCCTGCTTTGGTAGTTTGTTTTTCAAGGAATTTATTTCATCACAGTTGTTGACTTTTCGGCATAAAGTTTGTAATATTCCCGTTACCTTTTTAATATCTCTAGAATCTGTAGGAATGTCATTTCTGTCATTCTTGATATTGATAAACTTGTGTCTTCTTTTCCTGTTCAGTCTTGCTAAAGGTTTATCAGTTGGATTAAATATTTTTAAACACTGAATGCCAAATAAAACTTATCTTCAGGCTTATATGTAGTTTGTGGGCCACCCTTTGTCTAGCAAGTCTTAAAGAAAAAAAAGTGACCAAAAAATATTATACTTAGCCAAATTACTATTGAAATCTTAAGTCAGTAGACATTAACAAATATACAAAACCTCGGAGAATATAACACCCCTGAACACATCTTGAAAAAAAAAAAAAGTAAAATCAAGCTGTTCAAGAGATAAAATAAAATGATTCAAGAAGAATCTTGGTAAAAGAACTAAGAATGAAGATTAAGTCCTTTAAATATAGAACAAAGTCCTTTAAATGTAGGAATTATGACTATAGAATAGCACTAAAATGTTACATAAATTTTGACAGTAATAGTATAACTAAGAAAACAAGAGGAAGCAAGGGACTAGTAGAAATATGAGAATCCATACTTTAAAAAATTAAAACATTAATATACCAACTCCTGAAGGTTTTCCTAATTTTTTCCCCATGTGTGTGTCTGTGTGAATGGCAGTCTTTTTCTTTTAGTTCAAGTGAACTCAGTTTAATATTGTTTTCATTAAAAGTGGCATACATAACATAATCACATTGTAATAGAATTATGTCCATATTTGTAGCCTTTTATATATATATATACATATATATATATACATATATATATATATATATATAGTTTTAGAATTATTTTTATCTGCTTATAATGGAGATTATTTTTTAGGGGTAGGACTCTGGCTATATTTGGAGGATTTTTTGTTTTGTTTTGTTTTGGTTTTTTTCATTACTCTTTTTGTTATGCCTTTCTATATTGCTTAAATTACTTATAATAAAGCCTGTATTCTTTTACCAATTGGTATATTCTCGTTGTTCTAAGGATAACTATGTTACTCTCAGAATTTAGTGTTGTTAGATTATGGTACAGTTTTGCATTTTGTTCAATATTACTGAACCCCTAAAGAATAATATTATGGATAATATGAAATATAAACCTTTAATTCTTCCCTCATATATCTATTTTTATATTTTTATTATGAAATTCAACTTATTAATCCAGCCTTTTGAATACTAGTGTCCCATTTGAATCCTCTCACTGGAAAATTAATATATCAGTCAAGGAAACGGAAAGCCCTTGTGATTTTTCAAATAAAAGCAATTTAGTTGAGGGAATTGATTACACAGGTGTTAGTAAGGCTGGAAAAAGCAAAAGGGAAAAAGGGGGTTTTGGAGAAGCAGACAGCTCTGAAGAATGGGTAATGACTAAGGATCAGAAACTTGTGTCACTTCTGAGCTGGAGTCCACAAGCCTGTACTGGCTACTACACTGTAAAAGCCACTGTCACAGTCATCTCTGGCTCTGCCAGAGAGGTGCTGCTTTGATCAGGGATGGTGACATCTCCAGGGTGCTGTTTATCCCTGTGTCCTATCCCCACTATTGTTCCAGCAGTTTCCAGTGTCTGCCAGCTACCGCATTTGACTCGGTCTACTTTCTGATCTCCTACGAGAAAAAAAAGAACCTAACTGAAAGCCAACTTACAAAGGAAGCTAGAAAAAGTTTGTTGACTCTTAACCTCCTACCAAATTTAGCAGAGCACAGGACAGGACCGAGGCTTATGACAGCTCAGTTAGCATTGAATTAGTTTATAGGGGCCGGCCGAGTGGCTCAGTTGGTTAAGAGTTGGCTTGGGAGCGTGAGGTCTGAGCAGCAGGGCCGCCGGTTCGGTTCCCACATGGACCAGAGACACTGCACCCTCTACAGCTAAGACTGTGAACAACAGCTCAACCTGGAGCTGGGCTGCTATGAGTGGGCCTGCGATAGCGTAGGCTGCAGCCCCTGCTGCAGTGGGCTGCCATGAGCGGCTGGTGGTCGGCAGCTGGCGAGAGCTGCCGTGAGCTGCCGTGAGTGGCTGTCCAATGGTTGGCGACCGATCTGCCTCACCCGGGAAGAGCACAATGATAATACCAACATGGACCAGTGAAGCAACATCCTCCACAACTACACTGAAGAACAAAAGGACAGCAACTTGTCTGTTCCCCTTCCACGATTCCCCAATGCTGTTCCCTCCCCCCAACTCCCCAATAAAACCTTTAAAAAAAATTAGTGTATATATTAGCTATATAATTTATAGTTGTAAAAGTTAAGTTTTATGTTTGTAGTCCTTAAGAACTTGAAAAACATAGCCAAAGCACTTTGTAATCATCAAAAGGATTAATAATCTTATAAATGAGGGAGGGATGGCAGCATGACAAATTTTTATCTAGATGCAATTGAGTCCTAAAGCGTATACATTCAATAAATTTTTTTCCCTCTTAACAAGTAATGGTTGGGAATAGTAGAACTATAATACTTAAAATATTGAAATATTATTTAGACTGAAAGATGGAATTGGGAATATCAGAGGATGTATTGCTTCCTCCACCAGCCTCCTTTTACTCACACCCTTATTTTCTCTGTTCCAAAGTACCCAGGGGATTAAAATCAGTGTTCTAATGTGGAAATACAAAACAGGGGTGAATCTTAATTTGATACCTTGTTGCCATTACAAGTATAGTTTATCCTTAAAGGAAATAAA